GCCCTATGCACTTCAAAATTTTTTTATAAAAACCAAAGTATAAACATAATAACTATTGAAATCACCAGGACAAATCAAGCATGTGCTCAGCAATAATTAATCCTTAATGCATTTAAGATTCCTACACAGTTCTCATTACTTATCCCAGATACACAATCACAAGAAAAATGAAAAGGTTTCGTTTCCTCTGTTTTTTGTCTTCCTAAGTGGTGCTCAGGGAATCCAGAATGCACTCCTAGTTATACTTAGCCAAATAAGCTTTCAATTCAACACAAGCGTCCAAGAATGTGGTGGTGTTGGGCTCTGCTGTGCTGTGGACTACCACAGCCACCCAGGTCACCCCCGACCACGTCTAGCAGTGTTCCAGGCTCCAGAGCTACACCCAGAGATATTCAGGAAGTCAAGGATCAAAGCTGGGTGAGGTGCATGCCAGGCCTATGCCCTAACTGCTGTACTATCTCCCAGATCCTGAAAAAGTTTCTGTAAAAGACGCTTTACCAGATCAGAACACAAGAAATTCAATAATACCAACTGCCTGTGGCTAAAACAAGATGGCTTTTCTATGTTTTATAGCAAATGGAGAAATTTCAAGAAGCTACCAGTTTTATTTTTTTATATTTATATGCCAAAAATTGAAGCATTAAGTCAAACAGTAAGGTATGTTTAATACCATCATTTTCATACTACGGTGGGAAATGCTATTCAAAATGTAGCTTGGAGTCTTTTTTGTTCTTTTTCCTTTTTTTTTTAATAAAAAGGATACTGTAACATTTCTAAAAAGAGATAACCTATTAAAAATACTAAATAGAAATAAGTTGAAATGCAGATTCCCACCAAAATCAATCAATTGTAATAAGAAAAGCACCCAAACAGGGTATTAGATTCTCTTATATTCTATAACAAGGTTGAACTGTGGAATGAAGGAACAGATTCTTTTCTTCTGTGGTGCCCGGGAATTGGGGTGGGTGAGGTAGGATTTGCAAGCGCAAAGCATAGATTCTCCCATAGAGCTTCAGCTTCAAGACTGAAAGAATTGTGTATGTTAAGAAACTGGAATAACAGACACCAGTGAAATATCTCAATCTAAACAGAACAAGAGAGGAACCCTTCTAGAATTCACAATGGAGAACTTATAATGCTGAACGAATTACAAAATGAATATAGAATGCATTCATCTTTAAAGGAAAGCAGGAATGAGAAGGGGGTGGAAAACGGGGAAATTTTACCTTGTAAATGGAGCAATTTCCTTTCAAGGAAATGGCAGAAGTTGAAAGAGCTAGTGTTCTGAAGATCAGGGAATTTAAAAATACTATAAGCAAAACCTATAATATGCAGTTTGAGCCATATGGCAACCAACATAAAGAAACTGAACGAGTCTCTCAAAGTCAAATGAATGCCTCATAAAAAATGAACTGCTGCCATCTTTAACAAAATCTGGAGATGAGTTTTTAAAAATACTTATTCTGAAAGCTTGGAAGTTTTATGTTTACCTTACACTGTGGCTACTCAAAGGAAAAGCAAAAGATTTTTCATTATTTCTAGTATAACTGTGCTCCTGTCTCCAAAAACCTGTGTGTCAGAAGAAGAGCCAAATTGGGTTAGTCATAGAAATAAGAACATATAAAGCAAAATTTAAAAATTCTTAGCTACCTAAAGCTTTTCCTGTCTCTTTTTCCCCCAATAAACTTGGGAGCCAGACTGTGTTCATATTTGATTTGCCAACTTGCTAGCTGCATGAGCTGCGTAAGTCACAGATTTTCTTTGTCTAGGGTTCCTTTTCTAAAACAGAGGTAATAGCCTCAACTGGGTTATAGTGATGACTAAATGATTTAATGTGTCCTTAGGGCTTAGAACAGTACCTGGCATACTGCATGCATTATATAACATTAAATAATTGTTATTATTAAGCCTATTTTAGACTGAGTTTATAAAGTATAATACAACTGGCTGTCTTTTTAAAGAAGCTTGGAAAGGGCCAGGAGAAAAACACCCTGATTAGGATGCATATGCCTAACCCAGTTTGATTCCTGGAACCACCTGGTCCCTCTGCACCTTGTGCAATCCTGAAGGTCCTTGAGCAGTTCCAGAAATGACCCTAGGGTTCCCAGCATCACAGGGTGGCCGCAGGCAACTCTGACACCCCAGGGTCTTAAACTGAATTGCAAGCTGGGCTCAGAATTGGTCGGCTCAGGGCTTCCTAAGCATCATTTGGGAGACCTCCCAACTCCCCTAAAATATTTTTTAAAAATTAAAAAATAAAAGGGCTTGAGGAGGTTGATAGATGAATACATAATGATTATAAAAGAATAAGACTGTGGTATGACATAGATGAATACATGAAGAGTTTTCATTGTGAGCACATCAACATGACACTTAAATTTACTAATCCTCCTATCCTCCTTTAGGGTCTCAGTATTCACATTGACAGGAAAGACCACCAAAAAAAAAAAAAAACAAATTTACTCAACCCCCATGAGAAAAGAAAAAGAAGTTCTGAGTTTACTCAGCTAAGAAAAGTCTGTCACAAAGATCAAACCAAGTAACACAAAAACAATGTCCCCTTTGTTTTCAAGAAGAAACTTATTTTTTCTCTTGAGGTTCAAATGGCATAGCTTATAAGTGGCTTTTAATTTTCAATTACATTTTCAGTGGGTCTAAGACATAATCTAAAATTCGTGTTCCTGAAAACACGGCTAAATTTTTTTTTCTCAAGTCAAAATGAAAACTCCGAAGTATCTTATATTTTGAGAGTATATTCTTTTCTTACACTTAACCAGCATTTTTATTCTAGCATTTACGTTTTTTAAAAAAAATTTATGCCTCTGATTATTATGGTTAAGGAATATAATATTAACTATGGTTAGTCTCAAGTGGACCCTCCAAAAATACTAGCTTAAATATAAAACACTAATACCTGAGACAGCTTTATTTTCTCACTGTTTCAGATGCAGGATGACAAAGGTTTCTTAATTAATTAAACATTTTTAGAGTCCACTAGTGACTATATTCTTGGGTCTTAGTCTACATCCTCTAAGATCAGCCATTGAAAGGCCTCTTCCTTCCCATACCCTTGGCTAAATGAGTTGTTCTTCATTTTTGCCCTCTCACACACTGTGTCATACAGGGAAGGAAAGGAAATGCAAAAATCAAAGGTTAGCAGTCTAACCTTTTGGTTACATTTTTCTCTAGCTCACACAAGAAAAAAACAGGCAATAGATAGCTCAAAATCCACCCAGCACTATTCTGAGTGCAGGGAAAATTTATACAATCAAGATTAGATGCCACCTTCCTATGCCTCATTTTATAGCCTAGGTTTTCAGAAAACAAACACACAAAAGAAAATATTTCAAATTAGAATACAAGCAAACCATTGATACTTTGGCCATTTTATATAAATTCCATGACTTCAAAGAAAAAAGAATTTGATCAATTTCAGCTATACATTCTAGCACATTTCTAACTTAAAAAAAACTTTTTTTAAATTTTTCCTCATGTCAAAGCCATAAATTCATAATTGAACGTTTCTTAGCCAAAACTCTTTAACATATCTGAGAATGTTTTTCCGAGGTTAAATAAGAGTGGTGTTTTCTAGAAGTGTTGCAACAAAACTTTTAAGGTTTGATCCGTTAGGAAGATAATAAAAGCAGGAAGATAATACTTAAGTACATTATCCAGAAGTATCATGCTAAGTGAAATGGGTCAGAAAGAAAGGGACAGACATAAAAAGACTGCACTGATCTAGAGAATATAAAGAACAGAATGGGAGATGAACACCCAAGAATAGTTTAGATAAGTACCAGGAGGTCTGCTCCACGGCTTGGAAGCTGGCAGCACGTGCTGGGGAAAACACAGCTCAGATAGAGAAGGGAACACCAAACAAAGGGTGTTTGGAGGACTCGCTCAGGATGCGAGACACGCGCTGAAAGTAGACTATAGACTGAACACGATGGTCACTCAATACCTCTATTGCAAACCACAACACCCGAAAGGAAAGAAAGAGCAAAAGGGAATGCCCTGCCACAGAGGTGGGGCAGGGTGGAGGGGATGAGAGGGGTGGGAGGGCTACTGGGTTCATTGGTGGTGGAGAATGGGCACTGGTGGAGGGATGGGTACTTGATCATTGTATAACTGAAACCCAAACACAAAAATATGTAAGTCTACAACTGTATCTCATGATGTTTCACGAATAAAAAAAGTACATTATCCAGGCCTTAATATTTAATATAAATGACTCAGATCCTACTGCATGGATTTGGTTTCCTTCCTTCCTTCCTTCCTTCCTTCCTTCCTTCCTTCCTTCCTTCCTTCCTTCCTCCCTCCCTCCCTCCCTCCCTCCCTCCCTCCCTCCCTCCCTCCTTTCCTTCTTCCCAGTGTTTTAATATTTAAAGTTTATCTTCAGCCATTTGAAAATTTAAACTCATGGAGCAAAACGAACAAAAAGGTATGTCTTTAGAACTTATGTGTAACAACGAGTTCTGAACACGTAATTATACAATGTCATTTGATGATATGATATGTATATAATTGTTTTATATAATATTCCACATATATTTATATAATCATTACATATATGCAAACATAAAATCATGCAAAATATGACAATTCTCTCCCATTGTACCTTATAAATGGTCAAGTTATACTTACTATTTGGAAATGCAAATACTAGATAGGAAATGCTTAAGAGCATTTTCCATAAAAACAATGAGTAACAAACATCACACTTGATCTTCATTAAGCAACAGAGCTGGAAGTATAATTCCTGCTGTGTTTTTATATAATCGGGAGCTTCCTCACTGACCCACAGTTTGCTCCAAGTAATCATTCCTAACCTCTGGACCTCAGGAGAATGAAAGGAAAAAGGGAAGCTGAAGACACTAACTAAAAATACATGCTTTCTTTGCATATAAGACATTATATACTTTGACAAAATAAAGGCAGAGTACTTGTGACACATTTCTGGTTCATTAAAGAGAAGAAAAGGTTAGAATAACGATGCTTACCTGTTGTTCCTGCACTCTTGCAGTACCAAGTTCCGAGAGAGACATGGTGAGTTTCTCCTGCTGTTCTGATAGATATTTCTGATACAAGCTCAGAAGTTCTTGACATTCTATATATTGTAGCTGGAGAGGTACGATTGCAAATTAAGGGAAAGAAACTAATAAGTTGATTCAAGCTACATCTATTAGTGCTGTTTTTCCAACAAACAAAATAAAGACAAAAAAGGCAACCATATTTGGTCACAATGTAGCTAAGTGTAATCTTCAGATGGATAGAGTATATGGATCCCTCTCCCAATCATTGTTTAATAAAAGAATAGCAACATTATCCCTTTTAAAGAGAAATTTCTCTCAAATATTAGACTGAATAAGCAAAGACAAAGTTTATTACACAGATATATGAAAGAGTTTGCAATCAAATCTCTACCTTACACCACATAAAAACACCAATTCAAAAGAGATCATTGACTTAATCATAACAACTAAAAATGAAACTCTTAATAAAACTCTAACAAATCTTTTTTGTGTACATGTTGTTTTTATTTTGGGCAACCAGCAGAACTCGGGGCTTATTCCTGGCTCTACCCTCAGGGTAGGGCTTGGAGAGAATATAGGATGGAGAGACTGAATCCAGATAAGCTTTGTACAAGGGAAGCATCCTACCAGCTGTCCTATCGATCCTGTTCCTGACACTATCACTATCCTGTCACTGTACTCCGCTGTTCATCGATTTTGCTCGAGCGGGCCCAGTAACGTCTCCATTGTGACAATAGTTACTGTGTCTGGCATATTGAATACGTCACGGGTGGCTTGCCAGGCTTTGCCGTGGGGGCGAGATAGTATCGGTAGCTTGCCGGTCTCTCCGAGAGGGGCAGACGAATCGAACTTGGGTTGGCCGCTTGCAAGGCAAACGCCATACCCGCTGTGCTATAGCTCCAGCCCATCGATCCTGCCCCATAAAAGGAAATCTTTGTGAACCCCAGCGGGACTGGTAATAAAACAGTATATGTCAAAAATCCAGCTATGAATACCTTTGTAACTCATGGTGCTTTAATAAAGCAAAATTTTTGGGAAAAAGTGAATCTTTATTAATTTGTTTTTGTGCCACCCACCTGGCAACAATCATATGCTATTCTTGGCTCTGCACTCAGTAATCTTTTTCTGGTGTTGCTCAGGGGACCATATTGAACACCGGTTGACTGAACCCAGATCAGCTGCATGCAAGGCTAGTGCCCTATCTGCTGTATTATTTCTCTAAAGCCAAATCTTCATGAACTTGGATTAGGCCATGGTTACCTACAAGCCAGCATTCAAAGAATAAGCAAATAAAATGGACCTCAAAATGAAAAACTTTATGTTTCAAGGAACATTAAGTAATTAAAGACAACCTTCAGAAGGAAAAAATTTGCAAATCATACATATATTTGTGAAATTATGCAATCAAACGCCCTTACCCAGGATTCAACAATTGAAAAACTAACATATTTAGTAAAAATGAGCAACAGACTTAAATAGATGTTTCCAAAAGAAATTACAAAGAGAAACATGAAAGAGAGGCAGGGGTTAGGGCCCTTAGATGTATACAGAGTGAACCATTGTTTGATCCCTGGTACCACACATGGTCCCCAGAGCAGCAGCAGGAGTGATCCCTGAGAAGTCATGAGTTACAGTTTTGCATTTACTGGGATGACTATAATACAAACAGCAATGACAAAGATGCAGAGAAATTAGAAACATCTTAACGGATGCAGATATAAAATAATTTACGTTATTAAAAAAACAAAGACAAAGCTCAAAACACACAACTATGTATATGAACAAAAGAATGAAAAACGTATGTCCACACAACAATTTATATGCATATTTGGAGATTACACATAATAATGAAAAAGTGAAAACAATCCAATTCACAATTAGTGCCTCAGGAAAGCACCTGGGAATGAGTGTAATAAACAAAGTAAAAGACCTATACAAAGAAAACTAGAAATCACTACTAAAAGAAACAAGAGGACATGAGGAAATGGAAACATGTTACCTGTTTGTGGACTAGAAGGATTAAATTTACATGGTCAAAATGACAATCTTGCCCAAAGCACTATACAGATTAAGTGCAGTTCCAATAAAAATACTGCTGACACTTTTTTGAAAGACACCGATAAAAAGCTACTGAAATTTACATGGAGCAATACTCCACCCCTCCCCACCCAACAGACAAAGCAACTCTAGGTAATAAGAAGATGGTAGGCATTTCTTTCCCCAAATGTCCTATAAGTTGAAGTAGTCAAAACAGAGGGCTGCTGGAGTAAGAAAAGACTTTCAGACCAATGGAATAAAAGGGACAGTCCAGAGACAAATCCTCGGGGATATGGACAGTTAATCTTCAATAAAGGAGCAAAACATATGAAGTGGAGCAAGAAAGCCTCTTCAACAAATGGGCTGGGAAAACTGGTCAGTCACGCGTAAAAATATGAATCTAGACCTTTTTCTAACACCATGTACAAAAGTCAAATCAAAATAGTTGAAGTCTGATATCAGACCAGAGTCCATAAAATGAGTTTGTGTCCATATAAAAACATATATGCATTTAGAGAGTTAACTCATAACAATGAAAAAAGTGAAACCCACAATCTAATTCACAATTGTGAAATTTGAGGAAATTTGAGAAGTTAGGTAAAGCACTCCAAGACATTGAAGCTAGAGGTATCTTCAGTGATCTATAAGACAAGCAAATGGAAGCAAAGATAAACAAAAGTACATTAAATTAAGAAGCTTCTGCACTGCAAAAGAAACAACTGGAATATAAAGATACCCCACAGACTGGAGAAAATATTTATCCATCACTCAACTGAGAAAAGGTTAATATCCAAGATATAAAAAGCACTGGGAGAATTTTACAAGGAAAAATAAACATCAAAACATGGCAGAAAGAGATGAACAGAATCTTCCTTATAAAAGATATACAGATGGTTGAAAGATTTATGAAAAAAATGCACTGCATTACTTATCAGGGAAATGTAAGTCCAAACAATAATGAGATATCATATCACACCAGTGATATTGGCACATATCACAACAAAAACAACCACTGCTGGTGGGAATGTGGGGGAAAAAAGAGACTGTCATTCACTGCTGGCGGGAATGTCAACTGGCCCAGCTTTCTGGGAAAACAATATGGACTTCTGGGCATCTACACCAAGAGCAGAAAATTCTATTCATAAAAGACATTTGCAATTCTATGTTCATTGCAGCATTATTCCCAATAGCCAAAATCTGAAAAGAACCCAAATTTAAAGAACAGATGACTGGGTAAGAAAATACGGTACATACACACAACGGAATACTACTCAGCTATAAGAAAACATGAGATAAAGCAACTGCTGCTATGAGTATAGACTTGGAGAGCATCACTCTGGGTGAAGTAAGTCAAAAGGAGACACAGAATGATCTTTCTTGTATGTGTGATATGACGAAACAAAGTAGGGGGATAAGGCAACAGAAATGAAAAACTGATCTTTAGTAGGAAGCTCACCAAAAGGAAAGGAAGGGAGGGAAGAGAATGGGGGAGAGAGGCAGCCTGAGGACAGTGCTGAAGGGAAGTACATACTCTGGGGAAGACTGTGGTGTTGGATTCTGTTGGGCATGCAACCCTACTATTAATAGTATTGTAAACCATGATGTCCAAAACAAAAACCCAATTTAAAACAACCAAATGTCCAACAAGTAAACTAATAAATAAAATATGCTATATCTGGGGCCAGAGAGATAGAATAGGTGGCAAAGCATTTGTTGTACACAGTGCTTCAGTAGCAACAACCCTGTTCAAATCCCTGGCAAAACCAACGGTCTCCTGAGTGCCACCAGTGCTCACTCCTGAGCACAAAGCCAAGATTTGACTGTGAGCATCACTGTGTGTGGCTCAAACATCCCCCTTCACCCCAGTCCCCTGCCAAACATCAATTTGACTATTTATCAGAACCTGAATAAAAAATTGTCTTCACAAAATAAAATAAAATGTGGTATATTTACTAATGGATTATCATTTGCTGATAAAAAGTCAAACTACTGCAATATTTTACACTATGATCAGACTTTGAATACATTATGCTAAAGGTAGCAGCAAAAAAGCTACATTATATGATTCAAGAAACTGTTATTTCATATTTTTCAAGTAATCATACCTACCTGTATCAGGAAAGACAGTACAATGGGTAAGGTGCTTGCTTACATGAGGCTGACCCAGGTTCAATTCCTAGCACCTTATATGGTCCCCCCAAAATGCTCAGAGGTGATCCCAGAGCACAGATCCAGAAGTAAGCCCTAAACAGAGCTAATCAGAGCCCCAGTCAAACCCAAAACAACAGCAAACAAAAATACCCACATCTTCCAATAAGCCAGGAGAAAGAAGGTGTTAGCAGTATAACAAAGAACATATAAGAGAAACATTCATCCATCACCACTTTTTGGTCTAGTCTTCAGTATTCTGAAATACCTATTACATTAGAAAAACTCAAAGAAAAATGTCCAGAATAGCAAATGCATACATATGGAACACACATTAAAAGTGGCTGTCAAGATAACAAAAGGGAATGCCCTGCCAAAGAGGTAGGGTGGGATGGGGGGTTGGGGGGTGGGAAGGATACTGGGACTGGTGGTGGTGGAAAATGGTCACTGGTGGAGGGATGGGTATTCGATCATTGTATAATTGAAATCCAAGCACAAAAATTTGTAAGTCTACAACTGTACCTCATGGTGTTTCACTAATGAAAATTTAAGGGAAAAAAATCATAGATAAGAATTTCCTAGAATTGAGGGATAGAGACACCCAGATTCAAGAGGCTGTAAAGGTCTCAGTGAAAATAGACTCAACTAGGAAAACAAGACATATTGTATTCAAAATGACTAAGTCCAAAAACAGAGACAGAAAGCTGAAAGCATCAAGATCACAAAAGGAACCTATATACAAAAGAAAACCCATAAAATTATGTACAGCAGATCTATCAAATAAAACTGTGAGTCAGAAAAAAAAAACATGGCTGTCAAGACCCGGGGCAGGGAAATATGAAGCCAATGTTATGGGTATGGGTTTTGGGGTAAGATAATGAATATGTATTGGGAATTAGATGTTTGTACT